GACTATTGGCTTTCGATGTTGTATAATGTAATTGTAATAAAACCAACTTTTACATTAACAATCATATCACTAACTTTTCAAAGATCGTAAATCATGCAAGAACCAGTTCTTTGAGATTGAGAATAGTATTGGAAAGATGAGTTGATATTCGAATAGTAAATTGAGTTTAGTTAGGGAAATCAGTTTTCTATCCAAATTTGGAACCTTACATCCAACTTTTTTGAGCTTGTTCCAAATGAAAAACTATTCGAAATGGTTTAAATTAGCACCATGGATTGAACTATCCCATCCAACAAAAACAAAAAATGAAAGCAAATCTAATCTTTTCAATTGCACTTCTACTTTTACTTGCAGTCCTCTCAGTTCAAGCAAGTGACAGCTATCAAGCCAAACCTCCAGTCGTCGTTGTTGACAAGTATCATAAGCCAAAGCATTGTAAGAGAAAATGCTTAAAGCACAAGTGGATTAAGAAGTGTTTAAAACACAAACTCGTTGGTCAAAAGAAAGTCTGTGATCAATATGCCATTGTCGGTGCTGGTAAATGTCTCAAACATAAGAAATATTCCAAATGTGACAAGTATAGCAAGCCAACAAAGAAGTGTGTCTTGCATGCATACAAGATTGTTGGTTGTGCCAAGAAGAAGTACTGGAAAGTTTGTGATTCTTATGGAACTAAGAAGATTTGCATCAAGAAGGGTTACAAGAAATACTGTGCCAAACACAAGATTATCAACAAGTGTTTCAAGAAGGGATACAAGAAGGTCTGTAAGAAATTCAAGAAGGTTCCAATCAAAAAATGTGAAAAGAAGAAGGTTTGCGACAAGTACACTGTTGATTCCTACAATAAGAAGGTTTCCAAATGTAGATATGTTAAAAAGTGTAAGATTGTTTCATGGGCAAAGAAATGTGCCAAGTATAAGAAGGTTAAATACTGTAAGGAAAGAAAATCAGTTAAGAAATGTTGTCTCATTAAGAAGAAATTCTTCTGTGCCAAACATAAGATTATCAAGTTCTGTAAGCACAAGAAGACTCTTTCTAAATGTGTCAAATATCAAAAGAAGAAGTATTGTGCCAAGACAATTGTCATTCCTCCAAGATGTATCAAGAAGAAGTATTATAAGAAGTGCTTGAAACGTTCAAAGGGAAAGAAGATTTGTAAGAAATTTAAATTAGTTGGTGGAAAGAAGAAGTGTTGCAAGTCAATCAAGAAGAAGATTTGTATCAAGAGAAAGACATGTAAGAAGTCATCAAAGCCAATCATCAAACCATCTTTGTAAATGATTATTTTCAAATGTTTCTAACACCCTAATAAAGCCAGAACCTTTCTTGCAAACTCTTATTGCAAACAAATTTCAAGAAATGTTGGAAATCCTTAAGTGAGTTCATTTGTAGATGATTTTATAAGAATAAGGTACTATTTTCATTAAGGTTATATTTTTAATATGAATGAGTTCCCGTGTAGTCCAATGGCTAGGATACCTGGCTTTCACCCAGGAGGTCCGGGTTCAATTCCCGGCATGGGAGGATCATTTTGCATATCTTTTTACCAGAAATCTTAAAACGAAAGTGAAGTAAATTTCTTGATACGGACAAAATTTTAAACGTACCAACCTTCTCATCTTTACACCAAGTCTTTCACTTGCCCAATTGAATGCAAGCCTCACACAAAGAAAACTTGCTTCTCCTCCATGAATGGCCTATCAAAAGTACATACTTATCCTTCAAAGCTAGCATGGAAAATTAATTATGGAGAGGGAACTTGGACCTTCACGTGATGGTGGTTGCTGCCCTAAAACAATTCAAAGGGAGCCTACTTTGATTTTTCACAGTATTTTAACACTTCTTTGAATTGTAACAGTATGTAAATAAATTAAATTAATCCTAAAAACATAAAATTTTTATGATTTCTTATGAAATGTTAATAATTCAGAGTGTGACCAGAAAATATAAAATCTTGGTGGTTGTTATTGTCACATTTCAATTATTATTTTGGACGGGAAGCCTGCCAGGAATATGGCAACAATCCCGCTACAGTCTTTGACTGTATGAACAGTGAAGGCAACTAATCTATTGATTGTTGGTTCAGTAAGTTATTGTTTAGAAAAGCTTGCTACGTGACCATCTATTTATCACCTTTAAATTTGATCTAATTAGAAAGAAACTTGTGGTTGATCAATAAACGATAAAATTTCGATTTAGTCTTCAAATATTGAAATAGTGTTTAAGATTAAAAGACTACAGCACCACAGGTTCCCAAGTTGTCTCCAACCTCAGTACTGATGTGGCTCGACGATGCTTAACTTCTCAAATCGGACGGGATGAGGTGCATTCATCGTGATATGGCCGTAGCCATTCATGATCTTAACACCATCCTTATCAAAATCCTTACGCATTCATCATGATATGGCCGTAGCCATTCTCAGAATATTCATATAACTTTCCATTAAAGAGCTTAATTTTATCAGGAATACATATATCTTAAATATTTAATACATTTAAATTGGATGAATTACTGATTCACAAGAAGTAATACTTATTGTAATCTCACAACATGCAGGAGTGTTTTCAAACTTATTTTTCTCATCCTCACTTTCTCTTCTAATGAAATAACTCATTAATATTCTATTTCTCAAATACGATACTAAACACAACAAGAGAAACATAATTCCAATGACCAAATAAATAACTACAAGATCCATCGTGAAAAGACATTGATTAAATCTCCCCTAACATATGGAAACTTTGAAAGTTAAGAAAAACTAATTACATATTTTCATGTTCTTGTTTCCCACCTCCACAATAACAGGCAGCAATTTTAATACTTCCATTTATTGTGTAAGGGACCATGGTCTAGTGGTATGATTCTCGCTTTGGGTGCGAGAGGCCGTGGGTTCGATTCACACTGGTCCCCATTACCTTTTATTTCCTTAACATTTGTTGGAATGTGTTTTGCATTATTAGTTCACTAAATTTATTAATAGAAACATGTCATT